TCTGAAATGCAGAGATGAGTGAGACGTGGCAAGATGGTAATCATCTAAAACTGGCACATAAACTGATCTTTAGCAAAACAGACATGCCGTATTTAACAGCTGGGTTTTTAAGGCAGTCATTCATAATCAATGCCGTGTTTGCTTCAGGATCACAGGATCTCTAAACTCCCTCATCCCTGCCATGCACTGGACAGCTCCCCCACACAATGGTCCTCATCACAGCTGCATCGTTCCGGCATCTACAGTATTAGGAACCAAGGTGAGCAGTTCACACAACTGACAGCTATCACTAGGCCACTGTTACAGGTGAGGAACCTGATGCTTAATGTATACAAGAGGACACACTAGCTTGATAAAATTTCACTGATATTCAATAGTTGGTCAAAGATTCAGCTCAACACCAGCCATGGTTCTCATAAAGACTACAAAAACTGTTATCTCTCATAAAAACAATATTGTGCTGTAGCAGTAAAACATATACTGTAGATGCAATGGTTTTCTCTCTTCCATCTGTTAAAAGGATAGTGCTACTCTGTGGTCCAAACACACAGGAATGACATCAGTTAAATTGGGAACCTGAGCAAAACTTCCAAAGGAGCTTCTGCCCAAGCAGGCACATCACACACTGATCCCTCTTGTCAAGGACTAAGAAACTGCAGAAGCAGTTAGGTGACCACGACAACGCCAAATTATTATAATCAACAAATGAAAACTGAGTTAAGCTACAAGTAAGTACTTTATGAGAAAAGCAAGTTAATGAGTATTTTTTTTAACATGAATCCTTACTTTCCCTTAACTGCACTTACTAGAGAACTACTGTTCTTAAAGAGTCAAGCCTACTTACTGAGATTGAGACTTTCAGATTATACTCTCTAGACAATTTTTATTCCTTGCTCTGTCCCTCTGCTCCCCTCTCCCTGACCACCCTATTACTGGGACAAGGCTTGGAAAAGGTTAAAATACCACTCTGGGGCCAGGGATTTAGCTCAGTAGCACCGCACCTGTCTCACAAGCGCCAGGTCCTGAGTTAAATCCCCCGTGTCAAAAAAAAAAGTCACTCTGGCTTGGTAACCAGCATCACTCCTTTTCAAACTCTTAACCTCAGAGAAAGCTTTCACTGTCTTTCACTGTCAGCCAGGAGGGCATGGATTTACCTTGACTGAGAGTTTACTTCTTGGAAAGTACTTTTTAAAAAAAGGACTTCGAAGTCTTGACATTGGTATTTGAATTTTATTCATAATTATTTGGAATTATTTACTTCCCTCAAATTTATTTCAGTTGAGAAATTATCAATAGCATCTGTACCTCATCTTCTGACATAGTTCTAAAATCTGGGACAGATGCCCAAAAGGAAAGGGGGTCTACACCACAACTGAATTCAAGAACAAAAAGCAGGCTTTCAGTACTGTAGCTTTTGTAATGCACTTTTTTCCTCACAAGTCTATTTAGAGATGGAAAAAAAACCAAAACCAAGCAACAAGAAAATATGCGAATTAATACTTTGTTAGAAATTTACAATACTTTTACCTTGACAGTAAACACTATAAAATTAGAATCTTCATACCAAAATAATTAACATTTTTAATTTTGTCAACAGATAAATGAAGTGATAAAAAGAAATCCATTTTGCCAAGTAAGGTACAACCAACCATAGATGCAAAAATGAAAGCCACAAAAAAAAAAAAAAAAAAAAAAAAGCCACAGAAAAGTTTGAAAGCAAGGACTCCTTACTCTATTATTCATAATCAGAATGAACTGACATCCAAGATAAACACTTCTGTGACGACAAGAGAAAATACTTTTCACTACTAAAAAATGAGTCCAGCCAGGCATGGTGGTGCACTCCTGTAATCCCAGCACTCGGGAGGCTGAGGCAAGAGGATCGCTACAAGTTCGAGACCAGCCTGGGTTACATAGTAAGTTCAGGTCAGTCTCAACTATATAGTGAGACCCTGTCTCAAAAAAATGAGTCCAAATATAATGGTGAAAATTGTAAACTGAGAAAGCAAGTAACTGGTCACAAGCAACTCCCAAAGTAACACTAAAATAAAGGTATTTCACTCTTGTGTTAAAAATATTTAATGCCACAGTAATAAATGCCTCTGTCTTCTTCCTTCAGGGCAACACAACCTGACTCCATTCCCAGGACTCTAGCCCTACAGAGGAAGCTCACTCGATAGATGCTTCCACCCCACCCCACAGAAGCAGGGTGCACAGTAGCCGGGAGCAGGAGCAGTTTCTAAAGATAAAGAATCTCCAGAGGAAGACATCCATGGAATCACACACAATAACATTACAGTGTTACTAGAAGACATTCATGGACCAGACACGAAAATGATACAGTGTTGTTACTCACCTTTCTAAGGCTACTTCATTCAGTGAAAGTAAAAGGGAGACTATGTCATTCAAACATTCAGAGATAGCAAAGCCGAAGGGCTGAATTGACAGCTAGCCAAAAAAGCATCCAGAAGAACACCGACTTGGAGGTAGTGTTCTCACTCTTATTTTCTACTAAAATTCCACATGGCACAAACTATGTGCAGTCAGCCTCCTCCCTCCTATAGCCTTTACCTTTGGGTTCCTGGTGGAAATGTTTTGAAATCTCACCTGTACTGAACATGTAGTTTTTTTTTGTTGTTGTTGTTATTTTGTTTTTAATTGTTGTTCTCTAAAAGCATTCAGTAAATGGCAGGTACTGACACTGTATTATGTATTGCAAGTAATCAATCGATGACAAAGTTATGTAAGGATGTGCATAGATTATACGAAACTACTACACCATTTTATAGATGGGACTTGAGCATATACAAGTTTTAGCATCTGCAGGGGGCTACATCAGGAATGTCCCAGCATATCAGTGATTCCAGGATCATCTACTAAAGTTTTACCACAAGCAAGGCTCTGATGTGCTAGTGTTGACACTGTCCCCAGGGCTGTCCTCTGTCACATCCTTCCAGGTACAAGAGCATCAGGTTTTTAGGAGACTATTGTAACCATCGAGCACTTCAAAGAAAAACACTTCCAGTGGTTGAACTTTAGAAAAGAAAAACATTTAAAAACAACATTCATGTTTCTCAGTACCCAGTGGTTTCTAAAGCAAAGATTTATCATCATTAGAATATGGTCTAAATGACCATGATACGGAAGAGAAGCTCAGCAGCATTCTTTCCTTAGTGACAAACTCTCTGTGCTCTTCTGGGACAGAAAATGAACAGAAACTCTCGTTTCTACATGCAGGCAAAACCTTCCAGTCCAACATCGTTCTCATTCAAGGAAAGGGGGCCCTGAGAGGTGAAGGGCCAGAAGCAGCAAGCATCTCACTCCACTGGGACAGCGCCACGTCTCAGATATGAACTTAAAATCTTAAAGACACAGAGGAAAAGGAGAGCAACCAGAAAGGGGAAGCAGAGGCCAAAAGCCATTTGGGGTCCCCATAAAAAGACTGTTCAGCGGCTGTTGAGAACTTGGCTTTATAAACTTTCTTAAACCAGAGAAAAACTCATTAGTAAACTGTTAGGATTGCAACAAAATATCAATCACCCCTGAAACGGAAGTGGTAATTCCGCGCATAGTAGCCCTATAATCACTGCACTGTGTTGAATAACTCTTGGCAAATTCCAGTGGTAGAGAAGAAAGCCGAAACACCTCTCCAATACTACTGTTTAGTGCAGTTGGAAATACTATTCGGGTAGTTTCTGAGAAGAAAATGGGAGAGGAAGAGGTGTCCTTTAAGACAAAATCCCCACTTCTCAGTGACTCAGCTATGAACAGAGCCATCACTAAAATGGTGAGTTCATGAAAGGTTCTGAAAAGCAAAATTACTCCGTCGAAAGTATTTTCGGTTCTGAAATACTGCCTCTTTCAGATAGAAAGCGAAAACAGCACGCTCCGAGGGGCAGTGAGTGCGGGAACGCTCCCAAGCACTCCAGCGGCCTCCTGCCAGGAGGCCCCGGGGCAAGTGGCGCACCGACGCTAATCAACCCTCCTCCCGGTGCAAACGTGAGGATCGCAGAGTTGCATCGCCAGCCTGGAGCCACGAGGAGGAGGAGTTTGAAAGCCGGAATGGCAAACTCGAAAGCGCTGGATTCTTCTCCCTAGTAGGGCACTGCGCGTGTGGACCACGGCCAGGGGCGCGTGGGAAGAAAGATGACCCATTTTCGCCGACCGTCTAGCTAGCTGGGCAGCGCAGGGAGAGGGGCAGACTCGCCCCCAGCGGGCCCCGAGGTTTGGGCAGAGAGGAACGGAAAGCCACAGCTTCCCGGGCGCCGGAGAGGAAGGAAGCGAGCGCGCCTGGCCGCATGCGGAGCCTGACAAGGGTTCCGGGCCGCTCC